CCCCAAAACCCCAAAACCCCAAAACCCCTCAAGATAGAAATTTAACAATTTATGTAAAATTAAAATCAATAAATGAATCATTTTTAGATTTTTAGAAATCTTATAGGTTATTCATATTTTATGTTTGAAAACTAGAGTTAGATCTATACAAATATTCTCATAATAAATTCAAATACCATTAATATCCACATCTGTTATACTTGAGGATGACCTGCTATAATTTTATTTTCTTTATTTCATCAAATGATGTCTTATCGTGCTTAAAAACCATACTAAGTAAAATATCGTCTCGATAAATTGAAACAAGACAAGCCAAATACTAAAATTAATGAAGGTAAATATAGTTTCGATGATTGTAGTATAGATATACTGTGTGAAACTTATCATGTAAAATTCCTCTAATCTTTTCTTCTAAAATCCACTACACCAGCACATAATTCCTTAATATGATTTAATGAAAGATAGAGTAAGCTATGCCAAGCTAACTAATAGCAAATTTTAGATCATCTATATTGCTTCTTCATTCGAATAGTCCTCTGTACCTCCAAATAAAGGTAATATATACTTGTAAGCATCAAAATATTTCAGAAACAGAGATGAGTCAATTAAAATGAACGAAGCATAGTAGGTTAAGAACATCAAAAACCAAATTATATCAAGTATGATAACACATTTTGTGCCGGTTTCGATTTCTAAGCAAAATAAGAACTTGTCTTTTTTCCAAAAACATTGTTTTAATTTCTCCATTGATATTCTTGTCATTATTTATAATCAAAATTTATATAACATTCCCAAAATAATCGATTTTTAGAATTTTGATAATGAATCTTTATATATTGTTATGAAATTAAATGATATCAATCTAAGTCAAATTCAGGAATATACAAGTACTCTATTCTGTCATACCAATAAGGTAGTCTAGTTCCAATTCTCTCAGATAAACTAAGATATTTGGTAGCTTCTTGTTCTCTCTTTTTGTTTTTAATTAATAGTCTTCCATAAAGATTCATTCCCATGACTTTAGTGAATGATATGTCACCTTACATCTTTTCAAGAGCTTGCCCATAAAGCATTTCAGCTGTTTTGGTCTATGAATTACATTATTCTTAATTGAATTACTTACATCACCTGAAGAGGCGTAGAAAAGTCCTAGTAAAATCAAATGTCTATCTATATGCTCTGGATCAATCTTTTCATAATAATTTAATCCAAATTTAAACCAAAAGCCTGGATTCTAAATAATATAACTATAAATTATAAATTCTTACCTTTTATTCACCTTTTGAGCCTTCTTAGTCTAATAAATATTCTGAAATATTTGAAATGACTTTTCCTACATCTTTACTTTTCAAAAGGGAGAAGTATAGTTCTTGATTGTCAGAACTAAGGTCTTTTGGAACTGCATGATCTTTATCAATAAGATTTTCCATCAGCTAGTACTCATCTAATGTTCTTTTCAAGCCAAGTTTATCATAATGAAGAGTTTCAAGTTTCTCAATAGCATCTTTAAAATAGGTCAAGGTATGTTTGTTATCCTGTATTGCGATCTCCTTTTCCTTTGTAATTTCAGGAATTGTCTTTACTTTCATCTCAGTAGTATAGTGCTACCAAGAAGCACAAGCTAGGTTATTTAATGTGTGGGCTAAAATCATATAAAATGATATATTGATACCTTCAAGTAAAGGCTTTGGAGATTGTTTCAGGCAGTTTCTGTAGAGATTTTTTGAAACCTAATAATCTCCTTTCAGAAAATAGATATTCTAATTAGATTGATGAAAAAATATATTATCATACTCCAGTAAGATGACAAAGCTCCTTATTATAAGCTGGCAGAGTTTCTTCTAAATCTTATAGCATTCTCTGACCTAATTATTCTGCCTTTGCTAAATCAGTGTATGTATAGTATATAAGTAGATTTTTCTGGTTAGCAAATAAGTTTGCTGGATTTTTAGTAATTAGTGGGCAAAGCTTTTCACATATCTTAAAGTACTTTTCGCTTTCCTCATATTTATGCTACTTAAAAGTAACGTAAGCAAGTCTTTTGAGAACGTATAGATAGCTTTAGGACTTATCATAGCCCTATTACTTAAGTACCTTTAGAGTTTCCTTTATATATAACTCTGATTCAGCATAATTGTACTAATACATCAACTGAATAGCTTCTTTAAACTCATTCAATCCCATTACGTTAGTATGTTCACTCTCACTCATTCCTAAATTTTAATAATTGATTGACACTAAATTTTTACTGTCTAATTTTATTTGAGAATTTTCTATGATAGGCTCCCTAAGTGCGTCCTGATCCATTCTTTGAGTAAAGTCAGCAAATTTATTTTAATCATTTTGAACAGAAAAATGTCTATTGTTAAATTAACTAAGGATAGGAAAAGATCTTCTGATCTTCCCAAATGCTTTCAATTATTTTAAGGCTCTCATTATTTTTATAGCTTATTATTTAAAATTAATCACATTTATTCTTCAGCATGGGGTTTTGGGGTTTTGGGGTTTTGGGGTTTTGGGGTTTTGGGGTTTTG